TCTCAGGACGCAACAGTCACGTCGACTCGCGGACTGAAGTCCCAGGAAATGCGTTCTGGCACGGTTGAGGGTTCTCAGATGGCTGTCTTCCACTGTGGCACGTCCAGCAAGGAATGATATTCTCGTGGGGAATTATGAAAGAGGGAATATACGTGGTGGGTGTTTTGTAACATCGTCGATGCGTCGTGGGTTGACACCGGCCCTCTTCCTCCTCATCCTCCTCATCCTCCTCTTTCTCTTTCTCTCTCTCTCTCTCTCTTTTCCTTGCTTTCTCTCTCTCTCTCTCTCGGCGGGCTGGCTTGGAAGTATTGGGCGGAGCCCAGCACACTTGTTGTTTGGATGAAGATGGCGAGGAGGACAACGCGGAGGAGGAGGAGCAAAGCAACGTGAATGCAGGGCGAGGGGGGGCGCGAGGAGAGAAAGAGGGGGGAGGAGGTGAGAGGGTTGAGCAGGGGGAGGTTGGATGAGAAGGGGCAGTACGGCGAGAGGAGTTACAGTGGCCCTTCAATCCTTGTAATTCGTTTCGTTTTCTGGCGCAGTACTGGTTTGCAGTCGCGCAGAAAGAGGATGAGGAGGAGGAGGAGGAGGAACTTTTAAATTTCAAATTTAAGCCGCCCATCTCCCCAAGTTTAGGTCGTATGTTGAAAGCATCCCACATGTAGGCCGCCAATATCACACGTTTAGTTTGTCAAGCAAAAGGCATCCCTGCCGTGCAGGGCGCCATCGCATGCGCCAGCTCTTGTCAAAAAGTTGGTCATGTTCCTTGTCTTGTGTCCACCTTTACGCCCAAGAGGATGTTTCCTCTTTTCCTCGCCTCTTCGCCCGCGCACCCCCACTTCATGGACACGCACTTCGCCAAGCCGCTTATCGTGATCCTCTGCCTGTATCGCTTATGCTTCTCATGTGGCAGAGTGGAGAGATGCTACGACCGCTTGCTCACCCAGGTCTGCGCAACGGAAAACAATTGCGGGAATGCATATGGTAACGATGAGGAGGATGGGGACGGCACCCAAGAAGCTCTTGGGCCTGAGAACGGCTGGTGATCGCCACGAAAGGCACTGCATTTACCGCTAATGTCCGCGGTGCTGGGTGGAATGCACCGGCAGAGCACGCTGGCGACGGCCAGATGCCGAAGCCCGTGGACATCCATGCCCACTTCGCGCCGCACGTTCTCAGCCGCCGCAGGCGCACGTGTGATTTCGAGGAGCACTTATAGGTTTTTCTCCAGCCATCTGCACACCTGTTAAGGCTGCGGGTTGCACACAGACAACCCCCCCAGGTAGCCCTGGCTGGCCTCAACAGGCGCCCCGAGTAGTCCAGGGCGGTCTCAGCACCCGAACTCTGGGACGCCGCTGGAGGCGGCGCCGAGGTGTCGAGGCCGCTCCAGACTACTCGGGAGGCCTGCTGAGGCCAGCCAGGAGTACCTGTTGGGGGCTGTCGCTACGCAGCCCGAAGCTTTCCCATGCACATCCGTGGTCACCAGCGTCCAGCGTCCAGGTCCTCGCTCTGGACGTTCAGGTCAGAGGCTGCGATCGCCGCGCCGCGCAAGGCCGTCACCAGCACGGCCAGCCACGGGTCGCCCGCCGTGAGAGGTGTACCTGGTGGTGCGCTTCCTCTGCCGCAGGCCGGCGGCCAGCTCGGCCTACACGGGGGTGTGTTGGCAGGCTTGCTTTGCCTGCTTTGCTATTTACAATCGAAATGGTTCGCTGTAAGAAATGGCAAATGGTTTCGTTTGCCTTTCTCGGCTGAGCAATGGTCTGCAGTTGAAGACGGATTCCTTCTCGACGTCGCAAAATGAGCGTTACGGCGCCTCGCGCCCATTCCCGTAGTCAGGGCAGCTCTGCTGAGGCGGCGCCCTGAAGACCAGGGCCTCGATACTGACTCAGACGGCTGATAGATCCTCCAGGGGGGCCCTGTCGCGGACCATGGGCAGGTCTATAGCCGTCCCGCCTGTTGTCGACAAAGGTCCACTCGGATGGGCCCCCGTGGGAGGGAGTGTTGTCAGACTGTCGGACTTCTCTCCCCCGCCCGTTCCCCTCAGTGGCGTGCGATCCTCCTCCTCCTCCTCCTCCTCCTCCTTCTCCTCCTCTTCTTCCTCCTCTAGGTAGTACACCAGGCACGCTAGATCCCCACGGGCATAACCTGTTCCCCGATGGCCCTTGGGGGCCCGTGGTGCACCTCACAGAGTCGACCGTCGATTGGAACTGTGCCCCATAGGCATACATTCTCGCAGCATGCCTCGTCGGCTGTACTGCTGTAAGCGTGAACTCCCCCCACGACGGCACGCAGCCTCGCCCGGCCCCGTCGGCGCACCGCGATGGGGAGAGCATGCTACGCATGGAATGAATTCAATGAAAATCAATTGCAGTGGATCCGTGAGTGGATCAATCTTGATTGATGAGGCTATGATGCCTCTTTTGATTTTGAGCGGGCATGATGCCCGCTCGTGCCCACCCCGTCCCGTCTTCAGGGACTTCGCATCCCCCTATGATGGTAGGATGGGAAGACGGGCCGCCGCCCCTGGCACTGCACGTACGGTGCCAGGTTTGTGGGGATTTGGTTCGACCCCCGCAGTCCCAATGATGGAAACTGCGAGGGGTGTGAGACCTCATGGTGGTCCTCACTGGTAAGGCCTATGATGGTCCTCACCGGGGGGGGGGGGGGCAAGGGCGGACGTCCACCAACAACGGTCGTCGTGCTCATCTTCCATGAGGTCGAGGTGCTGCTCGCACTGCCTGTATCGCGGCTCCGATGGGGTGGAGACCAGGAGGAGGAGAAGGAAGAGGAGGACGACGACGACGAGAAAGTTGAGTTCCATGAACAAATTGAGCGCGAAGGCCTATGATGGTCCTTCTTCCCAAGACGAGCCTTGCTGATGGCCCCGAATTGGGTGCGAGGTGCCTATGATGGCCCCTCTGGTTGCCTATGATGGCGGCACTGGACGACCGGCAGGGGACTGAGTCCCGTTCACGGTCCATTAGGGGAGAGCATGCTACGCATGGAATGAATTCAATGAAAATCAATTGCAGTGGATCCGTGAGTGGATCAATCTTGATTGATGAGGCTATGATGCCTCTTTTGATTTTGAGCGGGCATGATGCCCGCTCGTGCCCACCCCGTCCCGTCTTCAGGGACTTCGCATCCCCCTATGATGGTAGGATGGGAAGACGGGCCGCCGCCCCTGGCACTGCACGTACGGTGCCAGGTTTGTGGGGATTTGGTTCGACCCCCGCAGTCCCAATGATGGAAACTGCGAGGGGTGTGAGACCTCATGGTGGTCCTCACTGGTTAGCCGCGGTGTGCGGTGTTAGCCGCGACGGGGGCCTTCGGCGCGCGGTGTGCGGTGTTAGCCGCGACGGGGGCCGATTTGATGTTGTCGGCGGGGTCGCGGCCCCAGTTCTTGTACGCGCAGAGTGTTGATCTGGAGCTGGGAGGCGCGAGATCTCCTCGGGAGGTCTTTGACATTCTCGCGCCCCCCGATCCTTCTCATGGGCTCACGTTCGGCCGCGACTGCCAGCATTCCTCGGCCCAGGCGCAGAGGAGTTGGTTGTGTAGTTCGTTCGCCCTGCTTTCTCGAGCGCGTCTCAGCCGCACCACTCCTTCCTTAGAGAGATCCTCCACCGCCAGTTCCTCCACACTCAGTGTTTGCTGCATTTGCTCGTCGCCGGAAGAGCCGTTGAGCCCAATATAGCAGGTAACAGGAATCAAGGGGGAGGGGGATTGAGGAGGAGGAGGAGGATGAGAGCGGAAGAGGTAGGTGATGATGTTGATGATGATGACGATGATGATGATGATGATGATGATGATGATGATGATGACGACGACGATGCTGATGATACCGATGATACTGATGATGATGAAGATGATGACGATGACGATGATGATGATGATGATAATGATGACGACGACGATGATGATGAAGAGTGATGATGATTAAGAATGATGATGATGATGATGATGATGATGGTGGTGATGATGCTGATGCTGATGATGATTATGCTGATTATGATTATTATGATAATGATGATGATGATGATGATGATGATGATGATGATGATGATGATGATGATGATGGTGATGGTGATGGTGATGGTGATGGTGATGGTGATGATGATGCTGCTGCTGATGCTGATGATGATGAGGAGGAGGAGGATAAGATGGAAGATGAGAAGGAGGAGGATCCGCAGCAGCAGCAGCAACACAAGCGAGGGGGATACGACGCTCATAGGAAGCGTCGTGCATAAGATCAAACACCCACAGGAGTAGGCGGAGAGGCAAGTCAGCCCCCCCGCATCACCAAGAGACCACCGCCCGCCCACCTAAGGATCACGGCGAGCGGTGAAAGGTGAGAGAAAGAAAGGCGGCGGCGGCGGTGGGGGCGGTCCTGGAAGTTGCCGAGGGAGGCTGTGGGCGCGCGGGCGCGCGGGCGCGCGCGCGACGCGCTCGCCGCTCCCCCTCGCTCCGACCGACCGCCGACCGCAGACGCCAACAGAACGGGGCCTCCCGCCCGAGGGCGAGCTCGCGGCACCGCCCCCGCACGTCGCCTCAGACGCGCTCCCCCCCCCCTCTGTCTTCGCTGTCCCTCTCGCCCGCCGCCTCCGCCGCCCCCCTCGTTCAGAGGAGGGAACGGTATCCATACCGCTACCCTTCCCTCGTTTTCCCCTTTCGGGGCCTCCTGGGAGGCCCTCGTCGCCACCGCTGGACTGGTCTCGAAATCTTGGTCAGAGCGCACCCTGGGAGAGGTCCGGGGAGTAGCGGTGTCGTTAGCTTTTGGTTTCCCCGCTCGTCATTGTTTTTCCTTTGCGTCGCGTCCCCATCCGTGTTCCCGTCATACTCTCCCTTTATCTCCTCCTCCCAGCCCCCTCCCCCCTGCTGCTCTCCTTCTCCTCCGCTGTTCGCAACCGCGCTGCAAGGGCGCGGCGAGGGGGTGCGGCAGGATTGCTACGAATTGGATCGCGATTATGATGGTCTTCAAGCCGTGCTTTCCCCATCCCGTGAAGGCCCGCGTGCAGGATGTTTCTGATGTGCATTGCCAATCAGGTAGCAGCATGTCTCGCACATGATTCCCCTACCCAGTTCTTATCCAGCTGCCTGCGGCAATCCCCGCCAGTGTCCCAGCGCAACACATGAGATCCATTCGGAGCGGTCGCACTGCCCTCCCCCGACAGGTTCGGGCAGAGCCACTTTGGGGCACTTTGGGATGCGGCACCGCAATGTGGCCGTGGCGTTTCACTGTTATTGCGTCGGGGCCTCTTGGGGAGGCAGTTTGGGGTGCCGTTGTGGAGGGCCTGTTTGGGGGCCTTTCCCAGGCATGCTCGCGTCGTGGAAAAATCAAGGCGGAAGATGCTCTGCAGTTTTCGGGCTCTGGGGGCCCGCGGCGAACCCCGAGATAAGTCAAACAGCGATTCGGGATGAAAAATGAGACTTGGGGAAATGGTCGGCTTCTGGGTGACCGCGTATGTAAGGCATCGCATTCTGGGTTTGGGGCCGGTGGGGGGCCTTTCGGGGAACTAGGGGTAGTCTTCCAGCTCCCTGGTTCGGCCGGGTTTTCCAGAAGTGGCCTGGTAGAGTCACCGTGGGGCATTCTGGCCGTGTGTTGGGGCCGTCTTGGGGATCTCGTGGGGCGATCTTGTGCTACATTGGTTGGCCATTGAGCCATCTTGGAACCGTCTTTGCGAACCGCCACGTTGTGTGGGCTCGCTGGGGCCGTCTCGGTGGGCCCTGGAGCATTGTCAAGGCCATCTCGGGCAGAAGCGCGTGGGAAGCAAACGCGCGTTGGACAGCGTCGAGTGTTTCGATTTAGTTGGTCTCTCTGTGGTGTGCCGAAGATACCCTTCGTTCCTTCGGCGCCCCTAGGGGCCTTCTTGGAGTCTCGTGGGGCCTCTTGCGAGCACCGCGAGAACTGGGAGGTGGTTGAGCAGTCTTGCCCTGGTCTTGGCGCGCACTGCAGCCATGTTTGGGCGGGCTTGGGCCGACCTGGGGCTGTCTTGAAGTCGAAAAGGCAGTGGCGGAACGGAATGTGATTTAGCGTTGTTGCTTGACGCGGCTCTTGCGAGGGAAGTTGCCCGTGGAAAACTTCAACGGTCCTAGCAGGACGCAAACCGGCATCCGAACCCGCCTCAACGTGCGGATGAACCAGTGGCGCCGGGTCTTGCACCAAATTTAACAGTATCTGCAGGATGCATTGGGACATAGGGACCCAGGACGTAATCAGTCTGTCGACCATGTTGGTCAGTCGGATACGAGCGTCTTGATCGTGTGCAGCTGGGCGTGAGAGCGCAAATAGTGATCAGTTTTTCCTTCCGAAGCCTAGCATGCGAGTGCGCACGTGATAACGTATGTCACCGCGCCGTTTGTTCCGACGCGTACCCTTCCCTCTTGGGGAGGGGCGCCGCGAGCATCAGGGCAAACGCCGCCTCGGGCGCGGTGGGCTTCCCGTGGGGTTTGCCGCGGTGCCGGCCTCGCCTAATTACGTGGGGCGCGGGACGCAGGACTTGCCGTGGGTTTGCCGTGGTGTCGGCGTCGTCCGCTTGGGCGCGTTCAGAACAAACGGCGCAGCCATACATGTGTGTATATAAGGATGTGAGTATACACATATATGCATTACATATGTGTAGATGTGCATGATACATGTATGTGTATACGCGCATAGTATGTATATATATATATATATATATATATGAAAGAGCGTGTTCTACCGCTGCTGGCGGAAAACCGGGGGGGGTCACTACCGGTTCGAACCCCTCCCCCCCCCCCTCCGGAAAACCGGGGGGGGTCACTACCGGTTCGAACCCTCCCCCCCCCCCCGCTCATCATGAAAAGGGGGGGGGGTCACTACCGGTTCGAACCCCCCCCCCCCCCTCCAAAACCCACTACCGGTTCGAAAACCGAGTGGGGGTGCGGACAGTGGTGGGGACGGTGTTGGTGGGGACAGTGGTGAGGGGACAGCGGGACAGTGGTGGGGACAGTGGGGGGACAGTGGGACAGTGGTGGGGACGGTAGTGGTGGGGACAGTGGTGGGGACAACAGTGGGACAGCGGTGGGAACAGTGGTGGGGACAGTGGGACAGGGGGGGACAGTGGACAGTGGTGGTGACGGTGGTGGTGGGGACAGTGGTGTGGGGACAATGGGAATGAGGTGGAAACAGTGGGACAGTGGAGGGTACAATGGTGGTGGGGACAGTGGTGAAGGCGGTGGCGAGGACGGCGGTGGGACAATGGGACAGAGGTACAGTGGGGACAGTGGTGGGGACAGTGGGGACAGTGGTGGGAACAGTGGGACAGCTCAGTGGGACAGCGGAGGAGTCAGTGGGGGACAGTGGGGATAGTCGGGCAGTGGTTGGGGCCGTGGAGACAGTGGGGAGAGTGGAACCGTGGTGGGAACAGTTCTGGGGACAGCGGGGACAGTGCGACAGTGGTGGGGCCACTGGTGGGGACAGTAGGGGCGGTGGTGGAACCAGTGGGGACAGCGGTGGTGAGGACAGTGGTGCTGGGAACACCAGTGGGGGATGTGATGCGGACGGTGGTGGGGACCGGGAGTCGTTTGCTGGCGGTGAGTAGGGGGGGGGGGGGGGGGGGGGGTGCGAACCGGTAGTGGCCCCCCCGGTTTTCCGGATCCGGATAGAGGGGGGGGGGGGGGGGGGAGGGGTTCGAACCGGTAGTGACCCCCCTCGGTTTTTCGAGCGGGGGGGGGGGGGGGGGGGGTCAGGGGAGAGGGGGGGTTTGCCGGGGAGAGGGGGGGGGGGGGGGGGGGGTTCCGGCAGGGGGGGGGGGAATTTCGGAGGGGGGGGGGGGGGAGACCCCCGGGTTCCGGAGGAAAAGGTTGGCAATTTTCCACAGTAAAGCGGCGGTGGATCACGCTCTCTCATATATATACATACACATATATAAACAAATATAGTTCATGCAGCTTGCACGTTGCAGGTAAGAAAGATTTACCCCAAGGGGGGCACGATCGAAGACGAAGAGGGTGGGTATCGAGGGTTCGGGATATACATGTTGAGTGGCCCGCGAGCAGATAAGAACGGACAGTCTTCAACTGATTGTTGTTGTTGTAGGTTGTAAATGTAGTTGTTGTTGATGTTGTTGCTGTTGTTGAATATTATTATCGAAGGAGGACTGGTTGTTGACCTCTGGAAACGGTTGCGCGCGCTGTCGCCTCGACGCAGGCTGCATTTTCTCTGAAAACGAGGCTCCCGCTCGAGCGTTGGATTGAGCCTAAATGTGGGCCCTTGGAGGCCCAGCTACGACAACAACGGCTCCCGCCCGATACTTCCTGTCGCAATTTACTTCGAGACACCCTGGCCAGAGAGGCCCCCGAACTCAGGAACGGCGCTCTCGCTCGAGACTTCCTGGCAATTCAATGAAGTTGGCGGAGGCCCAGCCACGACGACAAGGGCTCCTGCTCGATATTTCCTCACGATTTACTCCGAGAGCCCCTGGCCAAGAAGGCCCCCGAACTCAGGAACGGCGCTCTCGCTCGAGACTTTCCCGTAATTCAGGCAAGTTGGTGGAGGCCCGGACACGGCGACAAGGGCTCCCGTTCGATATTTCTCCATAGTTCTTCCGAGAGCCCCCGGCCAGAGAGGCCCCCGAACTCAGGAACGGCGCTCTCGCTCGAGACTTCTTCGCATATCCGTCAGTGGCCGACAAGGAAGAGATTCCCCCCGAAAGGGGGTGCAATCGAAGACGAAGTGGGCGCGTATCGAGGGTTGGGATATACGGAATGCAAGACACGCGTACCAGTAGGAGCGAACAGTTTTAAAATGATTGTTGTTGTTGTTGGTGATGGTGTTGTTGTTATTATTCTTGCTGTAGTCGTCCTCGCCCGCGACCCACCCGCGACCCACCCCGCGACCCAGTCATGACCCAGCTGCAATTCACCCGCGACCCACCCGCGGCCTACCCCGCGCCTGCCTCCACACCCTTATCCACAATTGCGGGGGGTGCTACACATATACCTGGCGACAGGGTCAGGTGCCCCAGCCCAGGTTGTCAGAGCCACACGGCCATCGCGATGCAAGGCAAGGCATTTGGGCCACCCAAGCCAACTGGTATTGCACGGGCCCGTTCGCGCAAAGGATGGCAATTTCACGGGCCCCTTGGCGCCCAGATTGTCGGAACGTCTCAGGTAGAATTGCCGCTTCGGGGAGAATCTATCTTTCTTCTCAGAGCCTCATGGCCATCACGGTGTAGCAGGCATACCGTGCAAACCGCCCAAAGGGGAGCCGCCGTGTGGATTGTACGGGCCCGTTCGCGTCCTGATTGTCGGGACGTCTCAAGCAGAATCCCCGTTTTGGGGGTAGAGGTTTTCTCCAGAGTTTCATGATCATCGCGAAGTAGCAGGCAGGGCACTCGGGCTCCCCAACGGGGAGTCGCCAGGAGGTACTGCACGGGCCCGTTCGCGCCCAGACTGCGGGGGCGTCCAGGGCAGAATGGCTAAATCGAAGGGGGGGGAAGCGCGTCTCTTGTCAGAGCCACGCGATCACCGCGATGCAGCAGGGATGGCATTTAGGCCACCCACCCTGGAGTCGCCAAGGGTAATGCACGGGCCTCTTGTCGCCCAGATTGTCGAGACGTCTCAGGTAGAACGGTAGTTTTTTGGGGATGGGAGTGGAAAGAGCGTTTTGGCAGACCCACAATCAGAAAAGAGGGGCTTTTCTAACGAACCCCCCCCCCGCCCCTTCAAGAGGGTACGTTTGACGTAGCACCCCGCAGATGCGGATAAGAGTGAGGGGGCGGTGGGGACGTCGGCAGTCTGCGAGACTCCGGGGAAGCCCGCCGCAAGCGCCAAAGTTTCACAAATTATACAAAATGCCCGCCGCAGACGCCGATTTTTTCTTCAAACCAATGTGGATCGGTCGCGGGTGGGTCGCGGCTGGGTCGCGGGGTGGGTCGAAGGTGTCGCGGGTAGGTCGCGGATGGATCGCGGGGTGGGTCGCGGGTTGGTCGCGGGGTGGGTCGCGGGGTGGGTCGCGGGGTGGGTCGCGGGGTGGGTCGCG